GGCGTGGGCAAAGCTGTTGGGAAATGACACCGACGGTGTCACACCCACCACATCCACCTCTTCAGGACAAACCAAAGGAGCAGGGCATCTACCAGGTGTCTGTGCTGCAGCTGCCAGAGCCCATCCTGAGAGCTGCAGATGAAGCTGTTGGGTACAGACTGCCCCGTGCCAGGCGCTCCTGGGGACCAGGAGTGCCACTGCCAAAGGTTTACCCGTTCCTCGCTCTGCACAGTGGGGGACAGCAGTGTCTCCAGCGTGGATCACCCACAAAGCACCCCACCAAGTTGTTTAAAAATACTCCGACGTTTCCCTGCCTGGCACACGCGCTCCCGCACACGGCGGTTGCTGGGAGAGGGGCGCAGCAGCATTGTCTGGAAGCAGGGAAAAGCTGTGCAGCAGCATCCACGGGCACCTACGCTCTGCAGGCAATCCTGGCACTCCATCGTCTCCACGCTGCAGGTGCTGATGCGGTTGCTGAGTCTCTTCAAATGCTTCTTTATCTCACAAACTTTCCTAGAAAGAAAAATGACGACGAAATTTCCAGGCAGTGTCCAGCAGCAGCGCGCATCGTTTTATTTGCCTTGTGTTTTAATTCCATACTGCTTTCTGCAAACCTTTCTGGACCTGAGTTAAAATCCTGAAGGAAAGCAAATGAGTCACAACAGTGTTGTAATTACAGCTGCAGCTCTGCTAACAGCCATGGTAGGTGAGGTTATCCAAACAACACTAATAGCAAATTAATTAGGGAGAATGTTGCTTGTATGAGAGACAGCTGAAGCCCATCACTTCTGCCGTAAGCGCTGCACTGGCTGCTCCTCTGTGCCTGTGGAGGACTGAGCAGCTACTCAAAAAGGCTACTTGGGTTTGTATTTTCTTTCAGATGCTCTCCTTTCTCGTTTGAAGCATCTGAAGGCCAGAGAAGTTCTCCCTGAGTACACCCTGGGGCCAGCCCCTCTGCAGGCAGCTCGATCGACACCAAAGCCCAAACCAGGCAGCATCAGGGTGGGCTCTGCCACGGGCACTGAGCCGTGCCGGGACAGTGTGACCGGTGTCCCTGTTCCAGCCTCGGGGGTTAATCCTCCCGTGATTTCATAGGGGACTGATTGCCCTGTTCCTGCCCAGGTGAGGGGCACCGGGGTGGAGGTGCCCTGCAGGTGGCAGGGACGCCGTGAGTTGTATGGAAAACGGTTTGATTTGGCTTTTAAAAAAAAAAAAAGAAAGAGTATTTAAGGTGAACGGTCCACCTCCAGTCCCCAGAAAAACAGCCGCCACACCGCAAACCCTGGCTGCTAGCAGGAAGAAACTCAAAACAGGACAATTAAAATTGAAGTAACAAGAAATTAAAAATATCCAGCTGTGACTCACTCATGCCTTCTCCCTAAGGATAGAAAAACAGATACAAAAATACTCCAGAAAAACATGAAGAAGCTTTTTTCTTTCCTGTGAGCACAGGTAAAAGCTCTGCCGGGCTCCTGCGCTGCACGGATCTGGGGGGGCTCTGCATCCAGGGAGGAATCTCACCCTGAGACAAAATTCCCACTGAAGCCAAGGGGAGATTTCACTGTCCTGCAATGGGACATGGTAGGAGGTGACTGTGGGCGACAGCTTCTGTCCCCAAAAGTGAAACCTGCCCGTGGGCGAGGGTTTGAAGCGCGGAAACCCCCGGCTGCAGAAGCCAAGGCTGGCAAGGGGACCAGGCAGGGACAAGGCAGGGCAGGATGGACAGTGCCTGCTGCCCCTGGGACATTCCTGAGCACCTGAGACAAACTTCTAGCCTAAAAATCCTCCCCCTGGTAAATCCTATGCAGGGCTACTCCACCCTAGAAATAGGGACCAGGTCAAAAGCCAGGTTTACTTCCAAGGCGTTCTAGAAAACCACTCTCCTTCCACCCACACTGGCAGCCCAGGGGAACGGATGCTTCTCTCTAAAAGCAACCTTGCAATAAAACTCCAATTTCTGCCACATGCCCTCCCCTAACTGCCTCCCCCTCGCCCCTGCTCTTTGCTGCTGTGATAGGCAGCGGATTGTGCTCAATCACTGCGAGGTAATTTGCTCGTTGCATTATTCCCCAAACACCATTTAAGAGAAAAATCATTCCTAATAAGTAGATCTCTTTGTCTCAATAGCAATTTTGTCCTGATAAAATAACATCTCCCCATCAGAGAGCAAGGAAACCAGCTGCTTGATGTCAAGCTGCAAGTTCAGAGTTTTTTTTAAAGAAAAAACCTTAAAACAGCAGGGCAGAAATACATGGCATGGGATGAGAACCATCACACAGCAGGATTTCCAGCAGTCACACTGAGCTGCTGCTTGAAGGTCTTATTACCCTTTTACGAGTCCCTCAGCAGCAGTTACCAACATCATCTCCATCCACATCCCAACACTCGATCAATAGTGGAGAGCACTCAGAAGCCTGGGTTGTTGGTGGGTTACTGGAAAGTCTCCTCTCCCATCCCTGTCAGGGTCCGAGAGCCGGAGCCCTGAAACCCCAGAAGCGGGCTGGGCAGGGGCTGGTACCTCATCCTGCTGCCGTGCAGGGCCAGGGCCTCCTGGTACTGCTGGACACAGCTGTCCTGGAAAATCAACAGAACCTTCCTGGCCAAATGCCCTAAATTCACCCTAAAAACAGAAAAAAAAAAAAAAGAGAGGACACTGTTATTTCCTTAAATGTATGAAAATGAACATCACGGTTCACATGGCAAGAGACCTAAAGCTGCCTCCCGAATGGAAAAAGAAGAACTGGATGCTTAGTAATGAATTTTGCAGCAGTGTGACAGAGAAAACCAAAGGTCACTATGATGAAGAGGAGGAGGAGGTTTCAGGGATGCAGGCAGGGCTGCCCAGCTGGGCTGGCATCCCCCACCCCGGGCACTGCTGAAAACTCTTTGCCTTGGAGTTTAAGGCAAATGTCCAAGGTGAGACTGAAGACTAATGAAGATGAAGGAGCTGCCTGTTAAATGTTAAATTTCACCACCCCTGGTGTATCCTGAAGTGTGCATTTTATTTCTTGCCCGTGTGAAATTCCCCTGGTTTCAGTGGAAACTGAAAGGAGGGTTTTTAAAGGTACAAAAGCCATCAGACACTTGACTCCCACTGAAAGTTAAGCAGATATGAAAGCACAGACACTTCCTAAATCAGCATCTCGGTGAATAAACAGCCACAAACTGAGTAAGTGGGAGCCATGGCCCAAAAGTGCTTATTCCCCACAGTCCCACCCAGGGATTTGGTCCAACAGCAACTCCCGCTGCCCAGGTCTGCAGAGGATTTCTCCCATCTTCGTCTGCAATAGCTTGCAACTTGGAAAACTTTGCTGGGAAAGGTCCTGCATCCCATGAACTGTCACAGAAGCCACTTAGAGGTGCCCTCTCTCAACGTCAGTGACCCGGGAATGTTTTACATCCCCTTAGGATTCGATCGGAAACACCAAACACCTGCCTGGCCGCAGCACGGATCCTAGAAAGGGGAGGGGGATGGGACTTACTTATCCAGCTTGTGTATTTGCTCCTCGTTGTAGCCCAGCCCTGCGGAGGAAAGACACCGGTCACCTGCCAGAACGCACTCCACATGTTTTTGTGTTAATATCCCAGTAAACAGGCAATTTCACAGTGCACAGAGATCACTCAAGGGGCTTTTCAGGGCTGCAGCCCCTGGGACTGCTGCCATGGCATGGAAACCCCTGCCGAACCCAGCAAACTGGAATAATTCATTTTTCCACCCGGCCAGAGCAGGGATGTTCCCGCTGCAGCCTCGTGCCCCCGGGGCCACCGTCCCTGTCACTCACGCAGAGATGTCCGGGCCTTCCTGAACTGCCTGTGGATCAGCTGCATCTTCTCCAGGCAGGACTCGATCTGCCGGATGCTGAAATCGGGACAGGGACAGAGGGGTGAGGCCCTGCCAGAGGATGGGTGTGAGGTTGGGGTGAAATGGGCACTTTGGGGTGAAACCCAAAGATACTGCAACTCAGGGACACTGCTGCTACCCACGTCTGTGTATAGGGACATCAGGCAACATCATGCACGTGTGCCCAGGGCTGTTCAATCTGTGGGAATGAGGGGCTGTGCGTGGCTGTTTGGAGCCCACAGGGATGTCGGCTCAACCCAGCTGAGGACAGCTTTTGGGATTTCGGTAAAGCTGGTGCTACCAACCTTTTGTCTTCGTGCACTTGTTGCCTTTGCTTCCCCAGTTCGGATAAAATGCCATCCAGCGCCCCTTGAAAGTCAAAGATGTTGTGGGAGCACTGGGAGAGCTCCTCGGCGACCTGTGGATGGGGAGGAGAGGTTGGGACCGGCTGCTCCGAATGCTGCCCTGTGCCTGCGGATGCTCCCTGGCTCTGCATGGAGCCGCCCACAGGGACTCACCCTTTGCAGCCTTGTCTTCACCATGGCCACATCCTTCAGAGCTGGCATCCCGCTGCCTCCAGAAACAGCCTCGTACCTGGAGAAAGTCAGAAAACTAATATTCCTTAAGCAGAACATAAGCCAGAGGCAGCCATCGCCTGGCAAGGAAAACTCATCCCGTGGTGGAGGCAGCGTCAGAGTCCGTGGGGCAGCTGGGCTGTGGATCGCTCCAGCAATAACTGTGTTCAGGGCACTGGATTGGAGTCACAAGATGCAAAGTGCTGATCCAGTACAAAATAAATAATCACCCAGTTGTGCCCAATTTGCTCCAAAATGGTTAGCTTCGCGTGGATTGGCTTTATGCCAGAGGAGATGTCGCCTGCCTCCCTGCAGCTGGCACGAGAGCATAAGGCTGAGCCATGCACGATGGCTGAGTCAGCAGAAATACGCTTGATCCAGAGCGTGTTGGAAGGGATGGATAAGGCAGCAGCATCCAGCTGTGGCATCAGTGCTCTTGGCACGACAGCCCCGCGCTAATCCCCCTGAAGCCAATGGGAGCCGCGTGTCTCTGTCTTTTTTAGATGAAATGGAAATTAAGAGACTTGCTAAAGTGAAAAGAATAAAAGAACAGCAACCCAGCAGCAAAGAATTCTCCACTACTGCGACAACAAAACAGAAAGGCAAAATAACCGCGGGCCACTTTTGATAAAATGGGTTCAGCTTTCCCCGGGGCGGGGAATGGCGCAGACTGCCCAGGGCTCCTCCGCAATTGAGCCTCTGGTGAATGCTCCAGTAGTGGAGCTTCTTCAAGGGGAATAAAGGACATCTCATCATGGACGGTGTGGTCAGGCGGGATGCCGGC